GTGGAAGGTGGACTCCATGGCATTACACCTTGCTGAGGACCCTCCTCTGTCCAAACCCCACCCTCCCCAGGCCCCATCCCCCCAAATCTCCAGGAATTTCCCAAACCAGAGCTTGGAACCCTGAGTGTCTGTGTGTGTGTGTGTGTGTGTGTGTAACTAGCCCATAACTTATTGTATTCACATGTGTCCTGTTCTGGGTTCCCTTTGGGGGATGGATGGACAGGGGCAGACAGACAAAAGAGACAGACAGACAGGTCAAGATGGGTTGCAGTGTTGGTCTGTTTGTAGCAGTCGAAAAAGAACAGGAGTCCAGTGGCACTGTAAGTACTAACAAAATTTGTGGCAGAAAGAAGTTTGAGTCCAGTGGCACCTTTAAGGCTAACAAAGTTTTATTCACGGTATAAGCGTTCGTGTGCAAGCACAAGTGTTGCCAACTCCAGGTTGGGAAATCCATGGAGATTCTGCGGGTGAAGTCTGTGGAAGGCAGGGTTCGGGGAAGGGAATGGGGTATAATGCCATCGAGTCTACCCTCCAAAGCATCCGTTTCCTTCAAGGGGACTGACATCTGGAGATCAGTTGTAATTCTGGGAGATCTCCAGCTAGTGCCTGGAGATTGGCAACCCAAACTTGAAAGCTTATTCAGTTAATAAAACTTTGCTGTGTCTGCATACATGTCTATATATGTCTATATATGTAGATGATAGAGATTGTTAGACAGGTAGGTTAGGTAGGTAGGTAGGTAGGTAGGTAGATAGATAGGTAGGTAGGTAGGTAGGTAGATAGGTAGATAGGTAGATAGATAGGTAGACAGACAGACGGATAGACGGATAGACAGATGGATAGACCGACGGACAGACAGACAGACAGACAGATGAGAAACCCAGATTGTCAAGGGTGAAGGAAATAAATTGTAGTGTGTATGTGTGCACACCACAGGTTATATTAATTTGTGTCTGTATGTATACATGTCTATGTATGTGTGTATGTATAGGACAGATGATGATAGATGATAGATGGCAAACTCAGATTGTCAAGGATGAAGGAAATAAGTCACACTATGTGTGTGCACACACCATAGGTTATAAATTGTGTGTGTGTGTGTGTTTGTGTATATAAACACGTGTGTGTGTGTGTGTATGTCTGTATACGTGTGCACACCACAGATTATATTAATTTGTGTATGTATGTATAAAGGTAAAGGTTCCCTTGCTTGAAAGCCAGTCGAATCCGACTCTAGGGTTGCGGTGCTCATCTCCGTTTCAAAGCCGAAGAGCCAGCGCTGTCCGAAGACGTTTCCGTGGCCATGTGGCCGGCATGACTAAACACCAAGGCGCACGGAACGCTGTTCCCTTCCCACTGAAGCGGTCCCTATTTATCTACTTGCAATTTCTTGCTTTCGAACTGCTAGGTTGGTAGGAGCTGGAAATAGAGACGGGAGCTCACTCCGTCATGCGGGAACCCGGGTCTCGAACTGCTGAACTACTGACCTTCCACAGCCTGCAGTTCAGCGTCTTAACCACTTGTCTATATTTGTGTGTATGTATAGGACAGATGATGATAGATAGAGGATAGATGGCAAACTCAGTTTGTCAAGGATGAAGGAAATAAGTCGCACTATGTGTGTGCACGCACCATAGGTTATAAACATTTTTCGTGTGTGTATGTTTGTGTGCATAAACACGTGTGTGTGTGTGTATATGTCTGTATACGTGTGTACACACACACACAGCCGGGTTTCATATGAAGCCCCTCCTCCGTCCTCCCTCCCTCCCAGCTGGCGTTGCCGTGGCAACCGCCCCCTTTCGTCCACCCAGGCCCGGCGGCCCGGCATGCCCTGCGCGCGAGCAAGATGGCGGCGCCCAGCGGCGCCCAGGCCCGGTCGGTCCCCGCCTTCCCCTTCCCGCTCCCGACTCCTGGGGAGGGGGAGGGGGAGGGGGCGG